ATTAACTTCAGTGTTATTATTATTATCTTTCGTTAGTTTTGTTAAGTCCAAGTCAAAGTATGATGAGTTAAATCGACAATCACTGATATTGAAAGTGGTGTTATCATCTTTAATGTAATTTGAATTAGGAACACAACCACACAAAGTACTTTCATTGATTAAATTTTCATCATAACTTGTTGATATCATAAAGAACCTTTTAAGTGCATTTTCAGAAGTACTTATCGTTCGTTTACAAACAACTTTCACGTTCAAATCTTTGTGTGTATAATCATCGTCCCATTGAAGTGTTGGAATTTGTGTAAATTCATTTCCACTGAAGAGATACCTCAAATATGAAAATTCCACATCTCCAACGTTTATGTTTGTTTGTAAATGAAAAGTGGAAGTTTGATTTGTTGTGCCATCGATCAAAATATACGGTGAATATGACAAAGTCTCATTTCGATGAAATACAATCCACCAGTGCTGGTCAATGTTAGAAAACAAGTGAATTCCACGTTTGAAAAAAGCGACGGTTGGGCGTTGGTTGTCACCAATTTCTGTTCTGCAATTTTTTTCGTTGTTGAAACACCCCATTGAAACAAAAAGATTATCAGGGCGGTTATTTTCTTCAAGTGTAATTCTTGAATCTCTGAACCGCGTTTGTATGAAAAAATATTTCAATGTTATTTCTTGAAATATGTTAAAAATTTTGTATTCAAGTGTCGGATTGTTTAAATCGGTGAATGTCAGTAAAGTACTGTTACAACATGAATTTAAAAAAATAAAAGAATCGATATAAATGGTATTTCCATTTTCAGTTGTTGTACTTACAGTTAACGTGAAATCTTTTTGGTTGCATTCATTTGTTAAAAAACCATCAAAATAAATCACATTGTTAACTTCAAAATAGGTTATAATCACCTGAGAGTGAGCAACAAATACAACAAATACAAAAAGAAATAGCCAATACATAATACTGAATAATAAAAGATTTTTTTGTTTATTAAAAACACATATTTATTAATTTATAATTGTTTGTGTTTTTGAACATTCGAAATGTTTCTTTTATTTATATTTTATATATTTGTTTATATTTATACACTTTTAAATAATTTTTAAAAACCAATATCATGTTATTAAAATAGTTTAATATGAATATATTGATTTTTTCAAGAAAATATAATGTTTTAGTCTGAATAACAATTCCTTGAACAATAAAAGTTGAATTTTTAGTTGTTTTTCATCAGATAATCATATCAATAAACAGA